GCGTGTCTGTGAAAGTTAAACAAGGACCGCAGAGGGGGAAAGCAAATCTGTGGAGCTCGGTGTAGCGGGGGCGGTGGGTGCCCCGCAGCGCCATGGATAACAGGTGCTATGGCTGCGCGTCCAAATTCACGGTCTTCAAGAAAGAGGCAAGTCTGGCTTAGTGGGTCCCGGAGCGGCCTGTGCTCCCTGGAGACTCGGCTGAGCAGGCCAGGAGCGGCGTGAGCGCCTGCGAGGCAGAGCCCGGGCGGTGCCGCGGGCACCTCCGGCAGCGTGAGGGCTTTAGGTCAGCGTCCAGGCACGCTGCCTGAGGAGCGGCATAGCGTCGTTTTCCTTATTTGTTTCCTGGGCTCTTGTGGCTCCTTAACGCCACTGTATCTTCATAAAGACCACTGTAAAAGAAAAAAAAAAAGGATTGAATTTGTCATCTGTCTAATCCAATGTTCCGTGGGTATCTCAGAGGAAAGAATCTCCCACCCACTTTGTTAGGCAGGGGGATGATCTGGCATCTCTGATTCCAACAGGAATTACACTCTGGTGGCTGAAGACTGATATCAGTTATATCTGCAGCAGCAGCTAATGATACAGTCCTCCTCAAAATCCGTTTACCTCCAGCTTTATCTCTGGTGCACCTTGGCAAGGCAATTGTTCCTGAATATGGTCATTCAGAGAAATGTGGTGTGTGTGGTGGCTAGGTGATGAAGCCCTGTCCTGCCTCTCTCTTGTATCTCCTCAGTGTGGATGTAAGAACTGCGGACGGGCATTCTGCTCTGGCTGCCTTAGCTTCAGTGCTGTTGTTCCCCGCTGTGGAAACACTCCGCAGAAAGTGTGCAAGCAATGTCATGGAAAACTAACTGGGTAAGGTGGGAGTCTTTCTTCACCCAAAGACAGTGTCCTGCTTTGGTCCCTCATTTTGTGAGAGTCTCTGTGAGAGTCAGGCTGTGCACTTGCCTGCACACACTGCCTGTGCCCTCGAGTTTCAAGCTAGGCCCTTACTGAACTGCTCTTCATGGGCTATTCAGTCAGAACATGTAAGTCAGTGTGTGTGAGGTTGTTCTCCATGGTGACAGTGTAGTCTGAAAGAGCCAATTTTAAATTGTCATGGATAGACCCTGGATGCCTGTGGGTATCCTTGCCACATGGGACCCAGCTAAGCCCCACAGTATTTGTGCCTAGAAAGGTACACCCTTTTGATAACCCTAGCAGTCTTTTCAGCTGTGTAGCAATAGAACAACCTGGCAACAAGATGTGCAAAGTGTTACTTCTGTAGGCAAACAGTGACACAGCTCCTTATTATTGAGAGGTCTCTGTTGCATGTAGCCTGAAGACCTAAATTTTGTAGTGTAAAATCGATTTTCTTTTAAAAGAAAAAAATAATATTTTCACAAACATAACATGTAGGGAGGCTGTTGAAAACAAAAAATGTAATTCAGCAGCAGCTTGTGTTGTACGCATACACAGGTAACACAAGAGCACAACTTATGCCAGAACCTCTCTCTACCAATTCTGTGTTCTGTCCCTTCTCTTGTATTTCTCTTACCTCTCCTCCCCATTCATTCTCATATAGCAAGGAATTTTCACCAGCAAGTGGGGAATATTCTTGTTCTGCAGTTGTCTAAAGAGAAAGAACCTTATGTTATCAGAGGTCTTTATATTCAGGAGCCAGCGCTTTTGAAGTAGTGCGAGGTTATCAGTGGTGAAAATACAATACTCACAGTCTTTCCTTTTGGAAAACTTCTGATTTCCCTTTACATGTCCAAAGATATTCAGAAAAGAAGTCAGCCTTTCCTCATATTTCTTTTGATTTTTCATATCTGTTTAATGTCAGTACTGTAGAGTTACAGAAGACAAAATTATCCCCCTACTGGACAGCAGATAGATAAGTCACACAGATTGCAGTTCTGTAAGCTGTGTGTATGGATGTTCTTCATGCGAAACAGCTTTCAGAACTGAAAACGTTTGGTAGGAAAGCAGTCCAGCAAAAACACTGCCTTCGTTTGTAATTATACAGCCCCTAGCACAGTGCAGATATATTTGTAGCTGTAACTTCTAGGAATGAATAGAATGTACTAACCACCTGACATAAGTGTGAAGTTTAGCTGCTTAACCTGAACACAGTGAGTCAGAACACAGAGTTACACAAGATGTGTTTGTGGTATGCAGTGTTCAGGTATGCTAGATGTCATTATGATACTGCTGGTTATATAACTCTGTTTATAACGTTTCATTTAGAGTTAGGGTTGTGCGCTATATAATTCTGTGTTTGTCGCATGGCATAACTCCTTTCAGAGTGTTCCACTATATTGGAGCTAAATACACTGGGAGTCTTAGCTAACTGTTCTCTATCTGCTTTCTGCTCTGGGATCAGCCTCTTTTCTTTTGGAACGCTGATGACTATATTAAATAAATTTTATTCAGACATGAAACAAAGGACTAAAAATGAGGTCCCATGCTGTCCTAGGCAGCTACTACCTTTCCTAAACTGATCACTCTCCATATTAGTGAGGTTATGAAAGGACTATACCAAGAGTTTGATAAACACGTATGGTAATTCCTTTTGGTTTAAAAGAATGGATGACTGAAGCACTGCCAAGACCTTGAGTTTGGAGAGAGCATTATTTTTGCCTTCCAGAGAAGGATCTCAAAGCAGTTCAGCAAAATGGTCACCACCGGAGAACTACAAAAAGTGAGTTGCACTTGCCAAACAACCCATTGGCTTCTGCCACAAGGTAACCTTTCAGGCCCTCTCTCCTCTTCCCCTTACAGGAATCATCGAAAGTGGGTTTTGCAACGTGGGTATTTGCTTGTTCAGAATTAGATTAAGGTTGGAGCTTCTGTTTTGTTGTTTGAGGGTGGGTTTGGTTTGATGTGTGGAAGGGGTTGTTTGTTTTCTTTTGTTTTGTTTTTTTGTTTTTGCTTTTGAGTAGACTCCTGAACAGCCACCTAGTTATGTTCAGCTATGACTGACCGTGGTTGGCTCGGAAACAGGAGCCTTGTGCTGAAATATTTTCTGTCTCCTCAAAAATGGTGCTGTGTGTGCTGCTGTGATGAGCTATGATTTTCTTTACTCCTTGGGACTACCTCGTCCTGCCCGTGTGGCAGAGCCTGGTACAGGAGGGAATGGTCTCTGTTCTGTCCCACACTGTTCAACTAATATGTGGGGTTCACAGAGACTGTCTTCATGTCTCATGATTTAAACTTCTGTTCTCAGCTGTGTCATGTCTTTTTCCATCTTTGTCACAGGCGTGTAGCAGCTTTTGAGGCTAAGCAAAATCAGCCGAAAGGGCAGTGGAAGGCAGCTGCGAAACCGGGCCAAGCAGGCTCCAGATACCAGGGACTCTCAAAAGAGGATAGAGCTATTGCAGAGAGACTGGCGAAGCTCAAGGAGGAAAGGAAACCCAGTGAGTTTCAGATGACTCTGGAGATTCCCAGTTTGGGAACGCTGCTAACTGGGAAACATGGAACTGGAGGGAACAGAGAAGTGGTGAGAGAGGAATTCTCTTCAGGGAATCAGAGGGATAAAACTGGTCAGAACAGCTACATCCGGCTAACACAGTGGCTAGATTCTGCAGTGATTCTAGATTAATGTTCTGATTTCTTTGTGTTCCTTGGGGTTTCTCTTGAAATTGCCTCTCAGTTTTGGGGCAGTATGTTACCTGTGAAATCACTTTCTGATTTTCCATTGTTTTGGGTAAAAAAGCCTATGTCAAGCACAGTAGGAGCTGAATGAAATGGGGATCTTTGGCCAAACCATTTTGCAGGTTTCCTGTGGGTCATTTTGCTGGACCACACCAGTGCCAGTCTCTGTGGGGCTGTGCTCTGACTGGTTTTGCCTCACAGAGAAGAGAAAAAAGGGATTTTGATCCCATGTTCTTGGACAGCTTTGGGTGCCTGTGGTAGAACAAACTATTTAAAAAATGATTCTTGCTCTTGGAGGGGAAAGACACTCTGCAAAGTGGTTACCTGATTGTGTCGAGAACAGGACTGTGTTCCAGCAGGCTTTTTCCAGTCCAATATGGCAAGGATGCACTAAGGGTTGTGAGAGCGGTGGACTGTACTGCCTAAATGACACATGTATTTCACTGCCTGTCCCTAGTAAGCTGATTGTCAAATGGGGTTACCCCAGCACTCATCTTATGGCTGGGAGATAAATGGCAAAAAAGGCAATGACTCAGGAAAAAACAGGGTAGCAGTTAACATTAGGGTAACCTCCTACTCCCTGCAGCATAACCCCCATTTAGATCAGGGGCTAAGGGAGGTTTTTTCTCAGGTGTCTGGGCCTTGATTCCAGAAAGAGAAATACAGTTTTAAGAAAAAACTTGAAATCATTTGTTTTCAGTAACAGAATAAATCCTTTCCCTGTGTTGGTCTGAATTGCAGAGTCCATCCCTTCTCAAGCTGAGATCGAAGCTAGGCTGGCTGCTCTGAAGGAAGACTGCCGGGGACCTGTTCCATCCACACAGGAAATGGAGGACCGTTTGGCTGTCCTACAGGGGAGAGACCCTCCTTCCCAGGCTCCCAGACCAGTAAGCTCCCTCAGCCCTTTGGCTGGCAAGGTATCCCGAGCGGGCACAGCAGCTGTGGTGTCCCCAGGGATTTCTAAAGTGTGTCAGCCTTTCCTCCTCTTTCACCTTTTTTGCATTCAGGTGGCTCCCTTCAGAAATCTCTCTGCTGCCTGTTTGTGTGATTGTCCTCCAGAAGCAAATGAGCAGCAGTATGCTGCTTCAGTATAAATGCAATCTGTTGCTTTATGTTTAAGTCAAATATAGTTCACGTGTTTGTTTTTAACAGTTGATGCTAAGTTTATTCTCCTCAACAAATTTGTATACCTAAGTGGCCTGGGTTTTGGGTTTTTTTTTTTCCCCCTAAACCTGTTCATATGTGTTTGGGGGCTTATCAGCCCTGCCTTCTAGTTGTATCCTACAGTTGTTACTACATCCCTGCTGGGCAAAATCCTGTTAATTATCCAGAGATGGAAGCACAGAGGTTAAGTGGCTAGCCTGAGATTATAGAGGAAGGTGTTGGATCTGTGCCTTCAAGCCTGTGTGAATCGTTTTGTCCCTGAGAAGTTCTTTCCTTACTCTCCTTTTTCAGCACTGCTGCTCACCCAGCTCTTCCGCTATGAGATGGTACTTTATTTACATTGGAGGTAGTGGCAGAACTGGGGTTGGGACTCAGCAGCATCTACTCCTGCACATTCAGTGCCTCGTTGTCTTATTTATGGGACTACAGTTAGAGTCATGGGCATTCAACACCTCTGAGAATGAAACCCTGAAAGCCTCACACCAAATACCCATAAGCTGAGACTCCTAAAATCAGTGGGGGCATCTTTTTATCTTGGCCCCAGCTAGGATCATCATTGTTGCCCGTTTTTTCCTTTGACTGAGTGTACTTCCCTTTCTTCTCATATGCTTTCTCCTATGCCCTCTCCTATGCCCTTCCCCTTGTTTCTTAGATGCACCAGCCCCCTGATTCCAGAAGCCTAGCCCAGCAGACAGATGACCTATTAACTCAGTTGGCTGAGGAAGTCGCTATTGATGAGCGTAACAGTCCAGGAGTCCAGCCTCAAGGTATCTATTTTGGCTTCCAGTGATCTGTCTACTAATGGGTGTGTTGCCATGAGAAGGGAATATATGCTTCCCTATCTAGCTTACAGGTGAGTTTGGTATCCAGTTTGTCCTTCTTTCCCCTTTATGACCTCCAAATTGACCAAGAACAGCCACCCAGCTCCACACTGGGTCTCGTTGTCTCTGCCTGGGAGGTGATTCCTTCTTTTCAGGGTTATATTACTCAGATTGCTCCTCTCTATTTCTGTAAGGTGGCCCTTCCCTAAGGAGGAACTGTTGCTACTTCTAGCACTTCTGTGCTCTGCTAAAAATACGTTAGGATCTGGGATATCGTTGTCTTCCTAGCTAAGGTGTTTTCCATGTAATCTCATTGTAAGGTGCAACCTAGCTCACTTGCTTCTCTCCAAGTATGGTGTGGTTTCAGCTGTGGCATGTCTTCTCCCATTATTACCCCAATTAGTTGAGAGCAACAAGGTGCTCCCGTGCCATTGCTTTAGTGGTGTTGGCTGTGCCCAGGGAACGCTGCTACTGAGTCACCAGCATGTTCTGTGTGTCTGTTTGCAGCTGCTAGGGGCCAAACCTTGAATGATCTCAATCGGGAAAGCGAAGGTGGAGTTTGCCCTGCAAATCTGGACCCAAAACAGCTAGAAGAAGAGAAGAATAAACTTCTGGCAGAGGCCGCTTCTGAACTGCGGGAAGAGAACACCAGGCAGGAGAAGATCCTACAAGTGGCCAAGAGATTGGCAGCACTCAGAGGCCAGGACCCAGAGAAAGGTGGGTAGCAGAGGAGAATACAGTGCTAAGAGAGCTAACCAAGTTCCTGTGACAGAGAATTTTTTTTCTTTTTTGAGAGTCTCTGATACGTTTAATTCCTCTCTGTTCTGCAGGAAGCAGACCGGGATTTGATTGTGTGTGTAAAGTTGTATGGCTTAGTCCGTCATGAAATCAGTACAAGAGCTCTTATTTGAGGCTCGAGGCTGGAGCTGTAAGGGCAGACTCCTTTGTCTTACGCCTTTCTTTCAGATAATTCTAGCATGCTCTGGTGAGGTTAATAAGGCTTTTTTAAAAACAAGGCTCTTCCTTTTTTCCTTCCCCCTTCTGACATTAAAAACAAGCAAACAGTAATGCCCCCTTTGAAGAGTCTGGAAAGGAGCTGTCTGTCTATGTCAGAGCCAGAGCGCGAATCTCTGTGGGGCTCACCTGACAGAGGATGGTCTCTAGAACATGAATGGGCATATGAGGTGGGTGTGGGTCATGATCTCGTCTGCCTGTTACTCCTGCAGTTACTTTGGAAAACTATAAGCTCCCTGACAGCGATGAGGAAGTGGATGAGGAGGAAGCCATTCTGAGAGTGCTAAAACAGGTCAGAAGTGGCCACTGTGGCCTTGTTTACCTTCCTCTTAATCATGCCCCCCCCCTTTTTTTTTTGTTATCTGGTGAGTATGCAAAGGATGTGTCTCTGTCCCTGGGCAGAGTCTCATCTCTCCCCCTTGATGCTTTTCTGTTGCTAACTACCGTGAGTCCATTCAGCTGCAGGAGATACAAAGGCTTTACTACTAATCTGTTGTATTCACTTTCTCATTCATGCTTAGGGTCTCTTCTGGGGTGTATCTGCCCTCCAACCCTGTCCCAAACCTGCTGGTGCTTCCTTGCTTCTTGTTCTATCTCTTCCCCCACCGAGCTGGAGCATGGATGATGAGACATGGATTTTTTTAGCACAACTCGTGCCTCGACTTCTCTCTGAAATGTCTGTGGGTTGTTTTGCAGGCAGATAAGAGCTTGCCCTGCTTGTGTTCTTGGCTGGTGACAGACCACACAAGTGGTCTCTCCCCAGCATGATGTGGAGGGTCTGCTGACAGCTGCACTGCAAGGCAGAATGTATTAGCTGAGGCTTCCTGCTGCCAGGCTGACTGTTCACAGCGTACGCACAGTGTTCAGAGTGTGGACAGATTGAGCTCGCATCTGTCAGGAGTATACCACATAAGCATATTTGGACTCATCTCCAGTTACTGCATGTGGGCAAGGAGAAGGGAAGGAAGTTTAGAGCCTAGAATGAGGCTCCCGAAGGTGTTTGAAACATCAAGCTTCTTGCTTTCCTTTGTTACCAGCTCACAGAGGAAGCAGCCCTGGATGAAGCAAGTGGCTTCAATATTCCTCCAGATCAGAACACCCAACCAGGACCCTCACAACAGAACCTACCTAAGAAAGCAAAGCAAAAGGTCAGTGAACTGGCCAGGATCTCTTGGAGTGACATGTTCCAGGGTCCCAGGAGAGTACAGCTCTGCAGGAAGTCTGCTGTATCCCTGGCTTAGGTGCAGGAAAAAAAAAACCCAGCAAGCTTCCCCCGGGCAGAGAAGCTGAGAAGGCAAATGTCTCAGCTGCTTCTGCAAGGCTCATCAGCCCTGAGCACAGGTGTGAATCATCTTGTACTTCTTTTAAAAGGAATTGCTCTCTGGAATCTAATTCCTTTCAGGCTGGCTTTTTGCTGGATGGGATGATGTTCTCTAAAGCCAGAGAAGCTGATTGACATAGGTGTGGTGAGGTGGATATTAGAAAAGGGATTTTTAACCCACCAGTATAATTAAACAGAAAAAGCTGTGGTCTAGTACCATAGAGCCTGATCCAGGGTGAGTGGGGGGTTTGCCACTGCTTTCAGCAGATGCAGAATAGCATCTCCAGATAGTAATCTAGAGATTACTATCTGGAGTAAGTGCCTATGTTCCCTTATAACATCAAAGGAAGGAATTAGTAACAAGGTATCAAATGCTCAGAATGGATTCCACCCTATTATGGAGACACATACATCTTCTCTAATGTGTATCATGAGAATTAAATGGACCTGTGATCACAGACAGCTGACAGGCCTGTCCCTGGTGGAAGAAGTTATTTAATGGTAAATGTTATTGAAAACATCCATCTCATAGGTATGCCACCTTGCACTTTTGGAATCACTGATGTAAATACTAGTGCCATCTTTTTTTCTGTTGTGTTAGGAACCTGCCTTTGCCAGTGCTCTGGCATGTGTCCCAATGTGCACATGACTGTTCATTTCGGTAAGGGCCCTCTGTAAAGCAGAAGGAGATAAGGAAGACTTTATGGATAGATTTTAGACCATCATTTTGGAAGATCTTTTCAGGCCAGCCTCAGGTACAGATCAGTCATAGGAGCCTTTGGCAAATCATTTGCTTTGTGCCTCAGTTTTGTTTCTGTAACATGGAGAAAATGATACACTACTCCTTCACTGCTGCTTTCCCTTCACACCCAGACCCTTTCAGCAAAACTGCTTGATCACTTGCCTTTGCGGCAGCCATTGCCTGTCGCTGGGTATTGCTGTAGTGGCTGCCAGATGATCTGGGCTCCAGCTTTTAGCACAGGGCAGACAATGTTGTTGTATATTGTTGTAGATGCTGAATGAGGATGAATAGCTGTTTACCATCCAGGCAATACAGATTCATGAGCAAATGCAAGTGAGTGTCTTTGATTTTTATTTAACAGTCTAGACACATACATATGCAGCCTAACCTTGGGCACCAGGCCAGTTCATCTCTCAGATTTCAGGATCAGTAGAGAATGAACAGTCTTGGACAGTACATGTCATTGTGGTCACCATGTATTATAATGGAAGTCCTGTATGTCTCTGTTGCGGTTTGAATTCGACGTCTCTGTTTTATTCCTGAGGTAGAGCCAGACTTCAGCCACCATGGCTCTTGCCAAGTCAGAAGATAGTGATGAGGAGGAGTTACCCTGGTGCTGTATCTGCAATGAGGATGCCACTTTGCGCTGCCATGGCTGTGACGGGGACCTCTACTGCAAGCGCTGCTTTCGGTAACTCCCACCACTCTTCTTGATCTGAGAGGCAGGTCATAGGGAAGCTTGGCCACTTGTATGTATTCTTCCTTTTGGGCAGAAGAGCGGAGAGCAGGAAGGGAGATATGAGGAATCCAAGAGTGAACTGAATGCTAGTCCTTGAAGGAAATAGTTTGTGAGATTAGTTTTTACCCCTGGCTTTAGGGACTAAACTGGCCCTGGGTGGAAATGTTCCTTCTGTGCTGCTCCAGTATATGTTTGGGCACATTGTGTGAGTGTCTTCTGGAACAGCTGATGTGCTGCATTGCATGGGACAGGATAAGTGAGAACGCTGTTCAGCAGTCCTGTGGCTTATTAATGAAACTGATGAATGATCTGGGCTGGATTCTCACAGGAGGTGAGGTCAGATAGTATAAATTCCTGAGGCTTTTCTTAGGTTGAGACCCTGCAGGTCTTAAACCACATAAAAACGTCTTGTTGCTGAAATGTGTCTGGAAGAACCTTATTCCCTCAGTCATGTCTTGCAGTAGCTACAGTCTTAGTTCTTGAACACCTGTAGCTTGATTTCTGACAAAAAGTTGTATGTCTCTAGTTTTGGATGTTAATTCCCTTGCATACAAAGCTGTTCATCACAGCTTGCATGGCTTCTCTTTGTCATGCCTCAAAAGCATTAGAGTTGACTCAGTTGTCAGGTTAGTGCTGGTAGACATTTAGATGCTCTCCCATACTCTTACGTGCGTTCTGTTATTTCCTGCAGAAGGTTTTGCAAGGAGATGGGGATGGAGTGGGGGAGAACATATTAAAGTGCAAGGAAACATGTGACTGGCAACGCCAGATGTTTAAAAAACAAAAAGAAAAAAAGAACAGCTCAGACAGACAGCTTCGGTAAAAGCAGAATCAGCAGACTGGCAGGAGAGTGAGCACAACAGTTGCACGCTACAAATGAGAGCTGGTGTCTTACTCAACCCTGCCTGCTTCTAAGCATGGTTAAGACAACTGCCACTATACTGCAATTTAGCCACAGCAATCATTTTTCAGGGTTTATGGAGCAGACTGCCGTTTCGGCTGTTGTCATGGGAGTTGCTAATACACTCGGGAATCACAGCCATAGTGCTGAAAATGAGCCATCGACTATGTGAATCTCTAAAAAGGGAAGGAGATGGAGAGGCCTACTGCCATTTCCCATTCCAGTAGTTGAGGATGAGCAGACCTTTCTGGCTCTCCACAGAGCACCTTAGAGGTTTCTATTACAAGCAAATATCTCAGGTGGTCAGTCCACATGGATGTCAGTGGGGTCCTCTCAGCTAGCCCTTGAGATAGGTTTCTATTAAGGGGTGCTGGGAGATGTCTTGTGCAGTGTCTTAGGATGGGTGCCATGCCTCGGTATTTTCTCCTCACTGCAGTTTGTGTTTACTTCTCAGAGAAGGCCATGATGAGTTTGATCTGAAGGACCACCACATCTCCCGCTATCGTCTTCCTTCTAAACAGAAGTGATCGCGCTCCTTATGGGGAGAAAAGGAGATGGAGAACTGGAAAGGAGAGAGAGTTGGCCAGATGGGAAGAGTCAAAGTGGTTTTGCAGCCAAAATGGGTGATGTCTTGGACAGTTAAAGGACATGCTGTAATCTGAGAGAAGCTTGGAGTGTGTGTAACTTTTTGTCCTCAGGAAAACAGCTAGAGGAGTGCTGGGTTTGCAGTGCATGCATGGGATAAATGAGGACTTGATGCAAGGAGATGGATGTGAGTCTTCAAATACAGACAATAAGGCAATGTGGGTCGCGGTATAGATGTGTGTTTAAGGTGGTACTGGCTGACTGATAAATAACTTCTTGCTTTTGCTAACAGCTCACACATCAGTTCAACAGGCAGCAAAGCACTTTGCACTAAGAAAACTATCTAGATCTTGATCACATGTCTAATGAGAATTTCCAAAGCATAATAAAATGTATTTACAGAGGCCTGTGGAAGTCTCCCTGGAGAATGCCTGATAACCCTTTCCAAATTGTCAGCCTCATGTAGTGGGATCTCAGTCCTAGTGCCATGTGGCTCAGGCAATGAAGTGAAACATTGTGAAGCTGCCAAAAATGTTTCTGTGGTATTGCTGGAAAGGTGCAGGGGAATTGCACTCCAATGATGGTTACTCTGCCTTGTTGGGCGGTGCTGCTCGTGTAGTTGAAGAATGCTTTCCGGTACTGGAAAGGTAATCCGGTACAGATAAATGGCACTGTGAGCAGTAGTGGCTGTGTGTTGTAAGTTACATGTAGTCTGTAAGAGCTGCACGTTAGTCTGCAAGAGTTGTGTGTTAGTCTGAAAGCAGAGCTTGACTCTCATTATTAGGTCCCCTGGTAGATGAAAGAAATTACATGTTTTATGTTCTTTATCTGGCTATGAGAGGAGCTCATTTTAATATGCTTACATCCCTCCCTGGAGATAGTCCTGATGCAAATGGCACACACTAGTGACCAAAACACCCAGAATTGCTCCAAATACCTGACTAAACTTTCATTAAATTACCTTTACTATCCCATAAGGGTGGGCTCTTCCCAGGACTATGATGTGACTTCTAAGGCAGCTGTCTAAGGCTGACAAATTCCAGCAGTAGCAAAAAATGAAGAATTTGTCTTTGATAGAGAACATCTGATGACTCTTGTCTGTCTGGTTTGACGTTGCCACTCCCAGCTGTCTGGCGTGCCTCTGTGCTGAAGGTCACTGCCTCTAAATGAGTTGGCAAAACAAAGCTTTTGCCTGCACCTCAGCCACCCCTGGTCAGAGCACAGCAAATAACTTAAACTACCCCCGAAGGCAGGTTTGTGCTAACGTGCTGGACTGGATCAGGGGCTTCAGCAGTAGCCTCTATCACAGACAGTATGGATTAGTAATATTGCAGGTTACCCCAGCAAGAATCGCTAGAGTATCTTGCGATGCCCTTAGAACACTTTGTTAGGAAGGGATGTCAAAACCTGACTCTTGTGAAGGCTATTCCTTCTCCTGACAGTACTTACTTCACCATTCTCTCTCTTTAGGACAGGCAGATAGGAAAGCTACTGAGTTGTTCTGATGCAAGAGCTGAACAACAAGGCCTGTGTTACACAAAACGTAAGTAGATGGTTACTGCCCTGAAGAGCTTGCAGTCTTAGAAATGAAAACAAAATGCAGTTCTGGGCTCTTGATATTCTAGGAATTACACTTTTTCATAGCTCTTTGACCAGGTTAATTGGTCTGACAGCTAGACAGCCCACTAGAAATTGTCTTAGGTTGAATCTTTTGCATCTTGCAAGTACTGGAGAAGATACAAGTATCTGCTCTAATATGTCCTCCAAACCTAGGACTGAGCTACTCTGTTCTTGCTGAAACCCTTTGTCCTTCAGCCCCAGTCCTTTCCAAGCAGTCAAGAGACATTTCAATCATTAGTTTTACAGCGGCTTCTCTTCAGTATCTCAGTGTGAGCTGGAAAGTTACTTGCCACATTTTGAATGCTCTTGCTTCATCAACCACAAGCAAACTTTGAGCTTCTTGTACAGTTAGGCAGCCTGAGTCCTTTAAGTCCTGCCTCGTGCACCTTGGTAATGAAACAGTGGATTGCAGCCTGAAGCAGCTTATTTAGGTTCCCATATTGGTTTCTGTGGGCTCATCCCAAGAATCCAGAAATGCACCCAGCCGAGGACCTAAAATAGGACCTAAAATAGTCATGCATGGAAGAGTCTGTTCAGTTACATGCACACACACATGCTGACTCTTCCCCCTGCACCACTAATGGACATTCTTGTGGCTTCTGCGCTTTCTGCATATAATTATTTATTTCAGTGGTAGCCCAATCACTTTCCCCTTGACAAGCCATTCAGTGTTCTAGCTCTTGCCTTGGTCGCCCCCATGTCAGAGAAGTAGGAGGGTTATTTAGATCAGCTGACTGCAGAAAGCAAATCTAGCTTGATTTCTCATTGTGAAATAGGAATGCTGCGTGACCTTTAACCGAGCAGTGAGCTTTTAGCTGCGTTGCTTACTCCCTCTCCTTAGCTTTGAAAGGGTATTGGTACACCAATAAAGATACTGGTAAACTATCAGCTCCTCACAGGCCAATAGGACTTCAGTCTTAGCTGTTCTAGAACTGAAGAGAAGCTGGGTACGTACAAGAGAGAGAATCAGCTCTACTCCTTTGCTTCTGTCTTTATAGCAGACCACGAGGGCACAAGAGGATTTTCTTTCTCTCTCAAAATATTTTATATCTGAACTATCAAATGTAGACCCTTCCCAAAAAGAATTTAAAAGAATGCTAAATACACGAGGTTGAAGTCATATTGGCTTACAAAGAGATGTCTCAGCTTAGCTAAACTGCATTAACATGCATTTGCTGTGGTATGAGAGCGTGCACCTTGTTTCAACTGCTGTAATGTGATCATGTGTCCAAATGTAGTGAACCTGAATATTTTAAAAGGGAATATAAGTGTTGCTCATAACTAAGGAAGAAAGATGTGTTTAAGGCTATCTTATACACACTGGTGTAGACCTTCAATTAGAAAAAAACACTAACCTTGACACATTCTGAGTTATCTCGGTATACGCAAGAGGGCAAAGTTTCTTTCAACAAACATTCTTAAGCAATATCTGCATACCAAACATTGTATTGTAGCCTTACACTGACGATGGTTCTGAGAAACAGTAAAATAAGTTAATTGGAAGCAGTTCGCAAACAAAACTCCACTTAGTCTATCCTTATAGTCCAGGCTGAGAGAAGGCAAAAAGTAAAAACAAGTTTGATTTGCTACTTTTAAGAAGTAAATTAAGAACTTGCTTTGTTCCCCATGAGCATGCTGTGCTTGTGTCTGAAGCACTCTCTGTGATAGCAATGTCCCTATGTACCAGAACCACAATTGCACATAACAGAGGCCACGATTTACTCTTTTCTGTTACTTGCAGAGTAAACACAAAGACAACTTCTCTCAAGCAGAGTTTCCAGAACCTGTTTTTTTCCTGGGCTTTAGCCTAAAAGCGTAGCCAAAAATTCACTCTGTGCCACTCCAAATTGAGGGAACATGGAGCCCAAGGTGGAGGAAAGCTAGCTTTCAGGACAGAAGAGAGGCATTTCAGGTCTTTATGCTGTCACAGCTCAGCAGAATAAAGCAGCACCTTGCTAGGGTATGTAATTTGGGACTTCTGTGAACCTCTGTGCTGCAGCTAATTACAGCTCTAGTGCAGGACACTCAGTTCATGGCCTGTCCACCTACCTCTTTCATCTGAACTTCTATTTGAACCTTGTCTGTGCTTCTTACAGCTCTCAGAGCTCTTTGGCAGTATGCTACTGTCCCTTCACAAGGGCAGTGATACAAGACTCACAGTAGGTATAAATCCATAAGCAGTGCCAGATCCATAACAGCTGCAGTTCTGGATTGAAAATTTTTTTTTTGGTGGTTGTTTTACTTATAAAGTGGAGTTTTCAGGAGGGCAGGCTTGTCCTATTGGTCCCTCACTAACACAAAAAGGGCATGTGCCTAGGACTGCCATGGGTGTACACAGAGCTGATACAGAAAGGATGTTTCTCCAACCTAGTGGGTGAGGCTGTTGCATACAAGAGCATGTGAAAGAAAGCAAGCCTTTGCATCACAGCTGTTAGTACGGCATATTGACTTTGTCCTAGCTGAGAGATGTATGTATCCCATGTCTTGCTCACTGGCATTTCTGCTGGAAAATAGGAGAAAGGCAAAAGGTACTTGTCATAAGCCTGTTTTTGATAAAGGTGAAGGGACCAATATAGTTAAGATATTACTGGTCCAGCCCAAGAGTCCTTATTTATCTTTGTTATCTAACCTGCATGTCTCTTGTTCCAGAGTTGACCCTTTCTGTCCCTCAGAAAGGCAGAGGTCCAGCTTTGAACGTTTTGGTGCACAGGAGCCCCTCTGGCTGTGGCTTAACAACTCATCTCTTCTGCTTGAGTGGCAGGCATGAGAATGGAGGAGCAGAACATAATGTGGAGTATGCTCTGCCTAAGCAATCATCCTCCATTTGCTGTCTTATTTCATTACCATGTGTGTCAAGTTACCAGCTTGCTGACAGGTTGGATGTAGTTTCCTCTGTATTTTTCCAGCTGATCAGTTATAGCTAGAAGAGTTTGTGCAACAAGACACTGTCTCCTGCTTCACTTCTCATATGTGAGGCTTCCCTATCTGCAAAAGACTTGCTCTAAGATGCTCCCTGCAGAGAAATTGGAAACAGGAATGTTTTGACTTCAGTTTTTCTTTAGTGTCTAAAGAGAAAGAAAAAGCCGGCAGCTCATGGCTGATTTTCTGTTTTAATATACAAAATAAGCATTTTTCAAAGTCCTTTTGAATGAAGAGAAAAAGCGTTTCCAGAACTTACTTTAGAAGATGCTTCTAAGTCATTAAGTCGTCCTGAATTCCACAGAGGAAAAACAATCTCTCTTTCATTAGCTTTAGCAGCTGTTTCACCAGCTTCCCCTTAAATGTTGACCAGATACACTTGGAGCTTTTTTTTTCCCCATTCTACTGTATATTTTTCTGTCCAATATTCATTCTGTCATGAATAACAGAGGCTTAGTAAAAATGACTTACAAAGTACGTGCGGTGCTGTAGAGTCAGATACAGCAGTAGGAGGAAGGAGATCACAGCTGGGTTCCAGTCAGACTGAAACAGGGTGCAGCTTAACAGTAACTCATTTTCCATGTTGACAAATGAGTGATAACCAATGCCTTATTTTCATTGCAGTGGATGGAAAGAAAGAAGTCATGATGAACTTCAGAGAACTGTATTTAGTGCTTCTCAGCCAAAATGGAAATTCCTAGAAGAAGAAACTAAAGGAAGGGCATCTTGTCCCATTCCCCAGGTTAACATTCCCTTTAAGAATCAGGAAAACATATAATTCAGCCCCTTGCACGTAGATCTGGAAGGAGCAGAGACTTCAAACCACTGGTACAAAATTCACAAACTTGATGATGTTTCTCAATAGCAGTAAGTCCTAAACATACTCTGAAATGATCTTCCTGATCCTGATTTTTGCTGGGAGTTGCATGTTTTCTTGTGATCGATGCTTGGGTCTCCCATATGGGCAGGGTCATTTCTTCTGAGGATTGGTGATCCTCCGGAGACCTTTCAATCGACTGAGCAACTCCGTAATGAAGTCCTACAGTGAGAATTGGTTGAAGAAGGATGTCATGCTAATTCCAGTTCTTACCAGCCTAAAGAGTGCTATGCCTTCTGCATTATTCCCACGCTCCCCTTCATGTTGGACAAAACCCAGGATTTTGACATGCATTCAGCTAACCTATCTTTTAGCTTAGGGATGGAGAATGTGATGAGTGTGAAGGGTCAAAAAGCCCCTCCTGTTCCCTTCCCCGGGTTCCCTCTAGAGCAGCTGTATTTTGCTTTCTTCCCATCAGCCAGCCTGCTCCTCTTCATCCCTGATGCCTGCTTCTTCCACGATGAGGTGACCTCAGGATGCAACTGCCCTCTCTTCCACCACTTCCTATTGCCACCATAACCTCCCACCCACATCTGCTGCCCTTCCAATCTAGGGCAAAGCATGCTGCCCTTTTTGTTTGTTGCTTCCTTGTTGAACCTGTCAAGCTCAAGCTCTGTGCTGTGTATTGCAAACCATCCTGGAGCTGGGCCGTTTCTACAAGGAAGTGACTGGCAGAGATGGGGTGGAGGCAGAGAACATGGAGGACTAACGATAACCCAGAGCAGGGACTGAGGACTGGCAGACTGATAGGGGGCAGTTACTGGAGATCAACTTTGCTGACACAGCCAAGGACTATGAACAAAACTGGAGCGTCTGGTTATTCCAAGCAGAAATCAGTGTGACCATTGCAAACTTTCTTTACCTTCTCCTTGACAAGCAACATCACTATAAAGGAGTGTGCAGCCTTTCTTCATCCAAAGAGATCACTACATGTCCCAGTAATTAGGTAAGGTCACTGGCAGTATTGCTGCTTGCTATAGATTGTGCTGTGTGGAAGCCCAGCTTCTCCACGCCAGTGATCACAGGTTGCTTGCCACAGCATGCTCTAGGGGTAAATGCCTAGAATTGTTCCTTTTCAGGCAATTCCTTCAGAGGAAACCTGTTTCCTCTGTCTGCTTTCTGCATATGGGCTTCCGTGATCCCTAAAGAGGACTGGATTCAAGACTTCCAAGCTGAAAGCACATACTTTGGCTAATGGGACAGCGATATTAGTTTGTAGTTAATAAATAGCATGCTGTCAGCAACGTGCATTCATGTTTTCTGAATCATTATAACAAACTTTTTCCAGTTAGCTGCCTGGGAATTTTGCGGTCTTGCCCAAAACTTGGAGACTAGGCCTATTGCTGGCCTTTTTGAACCCCATGCTGGGAGACTATCTGTGATGAGCGCTAGGGCCAAGTTTAATTTCTGTGAGAATCATGCATCCACCATCGCTGTGCAGCCACACAGAAGGGCTGGACAAGGCACAAGAGTGATGAATAATGTCTGAGTACAGTGTTCATATGTGGTGCAGTTGGCTAGAGCAGCAATGGGGGTCCCCCTTTTGCACAGGGATGGAGTGCAGTGAGGGCAATTGCTGTGATGCATACGCCACACTGCAGAATATTAGGCTCTGCTTCCTTGGACATAATGACAGCTTGTGACATTTCCTTAACCCCTAACTCAAAAAAAGGACTTGTAAAGTTCACAGAGGAAAAAAAAAGTCACATACAAAACTGACCTTGGCTCAACGTTTTGTCTGCCCAATCCAATCTCAGCGTCATCCTAAACTCTTGTTACTCATAAGACTAGAGTGGTCTAGGCTAGAATGCCTTTAGTTAGCAGCATGCGAGGTGGTGATGTGAGCAATATCACAGTCCTTGGCTCTTCTGCACTGAGAACCAAATAGCCACTCGGCCAGGGCAGCACAGGATGGCCAAAAAAAGGAATGAACTTTCATCTTTGACTGCACTGCATAATTCTTTATCTGTTCCACCACTCTGTCTTCAGCTCACCCATGTAGATTTACATTTGTTTTTATAACACAGCAGAATAAAATGCAAACACCTCCCATTGGGAATTAAACAAACATGAGGTGTCATGTTATGCTCAGTGTCTTCCTGGCTGTTCGGCCAAGTAGCAACAAACACGCTCTCACAGCACAGTGTGACACCCTCATACATTGACAGTGTTTCACTCACCTCTGTTGGGCTGGAGCATTCATGGAGAATTTCCTGCAAGCCAAGGAAGAATCATTTTAGTAATTTATCAGTTGATCTGCTTTCCCCACCCCCTTTAGCTGCGAAAAGGGTATATAATGTTAGTACACATCACAGGCTAAAAGAAACTGGGGTGTTTTAGATCATTCACAAGTAGTATGCAACTGGCACTCCACTGCTTCTCTTTTCTGTATCATGGAAGAAGTCCCCACTTTACAGTCCACAAGTCCCTCTATCTTACCTGTAGTTTTAATTTCTGTTCTTCATTAGGAACCTCCAGGAGATCTTCAAGATCAATTTCTGGTTCAGGAACTGCTACTTCTGTTTCTTCCCTTAGCTAGAAAGAAAAAAATTACACAATTAATAAACCTTCAGACTTGTAAGAACGCTAGAGGGTGATCTTTCAAGAACTGAGTAGCTGAAAGAAAATGAGTTACAATAAAACCATGCTGCAAAGTTGAGGTAAAAATATAAATCATTCCAATATAAGGTGGTGCTTATATATAGGGCATGGATTCCAGCCCATCTTTGGCAGTCACACGACCTGGTATACACATTCAGCATCTGCAGATGTTGTCACTGTAACAGCTGACACTGCTCCTCAGGGATCATGGTCCATCATGGCAAGACTTTGTTCAAGAATATCATCGCAATGCCAGCTTGAGACAACCCACTTTTATGAAGGGTATGCATAAGAGTTTGCAAACAGAAGTCTAGCCGGCTTGATCTCAAATACGCAAAACTAATACAAAATAAATTTAGGCTCTTTCGCTATATATATATATATATTCACATACTTGCTATTTACACTAAGGCTTTTTACAGTAATGGAGCAACAGTTAATGCTTTTGAAAGGCTTAACAATATTTTGCTATCTTTCTCTAACAGACAGGAGAGGGATATGATATCTCCTTCAATGTATGAGAGGCCCCAAGCTTTGGTGATGGGAGTAATATTCTTGTAATGCATGTGGGTGTTAATCTGAAATGTTTGTAAACTGGGTCACAGACATGTTTTAGCTTCACATATGCCTACAAGACATTAAGGAAGACAGGCCGTGTTTGCAAAAGGAATCTTTAACAACAATATGACACTAATGGTATTGTAATATATTAATCAGCAGAATAGAGGATACTGAATAAACAGTGCAGTACCTAATTGCTTGATAGTATTCATAGATGTATATGTGAAACTTACAACAATAAAGGCAATAATTAAGGAAAAAAAGAAACATTTTTTTCTGAGAAGAAAAAAATACCAAGCCAGAGAGGAACTAGAAAACCAGTAAGAGATCAGCTTTGTTATGCAGTTCACCTAACAATTAGTAATAAAACGAAGTTAAACATAGTATACTACTGTGACCCATACAGCATTTCCTCTTAGAAGGAAGTTTTCATTTGGCTGTTTAGACAACAGGTATTGATCCAGCCTGTCTTTGTCTCTAGCTAAGAAGCTAAATAGGCCAGAAGGGTGAGGTGGGGTAGGAACTCCCTATGGTTTTCTGGTCTACGCGTGGACTGCGTTGTGGCTTGTAGGTGCAAGGAATGGTCTTGAAGAATTGTCTCCTGAGCCTTAGTTTTGCTGTGAAAAGCCTCATGATAGTAAACAGCACAGCATTTAGATAATCTATATGAGGAGATGAAGTTTGAACTGACCTGGTTGGCATTTGACTCTGCAGTGCCAGGAAGCCTGTTTATTCTGACTCTTATCACATGGGTTTCTGAAAGACACTGAGAAACACTGCACTGCCAAGAGCAGGTGGAACAATGGAAGAAGCTGACAAGGGGCAGCTGAAAAGAAGTGCATCCAAGGAAGCCCAGACCAGTAGGTCTAAGTAGCCTTGCCACAATCCGCAGAGCAGAGCAGGAGGACCTGCTAGGCAGCTGAGTGATTACAGGTCATTTATTGTGGCATATTTATTTACTTGAAAAGATCTTATGTAAACCTCTGCTGCACCCTATTAAAAGTCTTTGACTCTACACAGCATCATATTATGTAGTTCCTGCTGGCAAATCTTTGGAGTTGACCTAAATACTCCAGGAAGTTGGAAAAGCTGTTGTACTGGAGCTGTGCCAGTGAAAGCAACCCACAGGCAATCTGTTCCTGTAAGAGCATCGCTGGATTTCTCACTTGCTTGTTCCTGCTGGGATTTTGTAGTAAGGAAAATATATCCCTTTGGGCATCTACTGTTATGAGAGTAAACAGTTCCCAATTGCCTGATTCTCAGAAAACCAGAAGTGATAAGGTGACCTGACTTGTTTTTCTGACACCTGTACAAATATACCTGCGTAGACCTAGACAAGTGAAAGTAACACACAGGGAGTCGTATCCTGATTGTCTTACTGGTGGTACCAAGAACTGCTTCTCATTCTTGTCAAAACACTTCTCTATACTGGTGCTTTTAACTGCGATAATTCCTCATAGGGCTGCTCAAAGCAGCAGCTATTCTCCTTGCTCCAGAGCTACCTTATCACCTTTGCTTAGTTCCTAAGTTGTGAGCTTCCTCTCCTAGCCCTTAAAGCCTCCACCACTGAATTTTCTTTCAGTAGGACTCTGTCAATTCTCTCCTTTTGCCAGTTTCACAAACTTAAATATCATAAATGTCTGTTATTTTAAGCTGGAAATGGGATCCTCTCCTACCTCCTCCTTCAGACATTGCCTGCCAGGAAACAATGTTTCAAGCAGCATTTGTCTCTTCTAGGGGCATAGCAGCATTTTGGTGGCTGGCAACTCAATAGCATCATCTCTCCTTTAGGAACATGGATGGATATGAACTAGAGGTTTCCTCATAGTAGCCCGGAGCTGCTTGTCCTTAACTTTACAATGGTGTTAAATAGAGAAATTGCAGTAAAACTAAAGAAAGTAAAAGCATGTAGAGAGGGGTTTAGCATCATTTTAAATGACATAATGAAATAAATGAAATCAGCTTTAATTCTCTTCAGACTACATAAACCACAATAGAAAAAGCAGACGCTTTTCTGATACAGGAAGACAGGACAGAGTGTTTCTAGACAGAGGTCCAGACCTAGCCACCTAGGCAAAGAAATGCCCATGGAGTGCCGGGATCTAGTCTTGCCTCCAAAGAGGGTTTGGACAGCATGTACACTAGGGTGTTTTCTGCACCAAAGTTTGACAGTTTACTTGCTGCTCCAGATAAGGCGAGTCTGCTTTGTCCAAAAATATTTGGTGTCTATTCATCTCAGGCCAGTTCCCACACCAAAAGGTGCTTCTGGTGTGGGTGCTACCATTATTGCTGGCAAATCTTAACAGCCAGACAAAAGACTTTCTGAACTAATCTACCAACTGCAGGGACAGTCTCTTAAATACCAGTGCAAGTTTGGTTGGCAAGGGAAGGTGGCATTGTTGCTGATCTTTTGAACAGTCTTCAGTCACCAGGACCACCAGTCTAGCACTTCACACAGACATTGAATTTTGCCTGTCTGACTAGATCTAGAGATCACATCTGCTCTTATATACACTATATAATCCTTTATAATGCATTATTAAGAGGCCTAGAACACAGCTGAGCGTTTATTACTATCATTTCATAAAGTGAAGAAAATAACTGGAAATTCATAATTAATTTTTGAAATGATTATGAACATTTACCCTTTGTCATTTTTATTAATCAAGTTATAAAATTGTTCAGGAAGTTTAACATGTTACTTAACAGAACAGGAGCAATGAGGTACTTATTCTCAGAGGGGCAGTGCTTTTGCAACAGAAGAAATGACCTACATATGCTCTTTCTCCATATTTATATTTTCCTGTGTCTTCTTCGAAATATGGCCCAAATTAAAACAGAAACTAACTATTATTCTCTCCTGACATGATGAAAGAATGCAGTAGATTCCTATAAATATGAAATAGGAAATAATCACACAAAAAATAATGATTAATAATAATGTTTTTATTAATATCATAATAAAGCAGCCTGAGAGAAAATTCCTAAAGTTTGGCTGGAATTGTCTCAGAACAGACAAAATCTTCTCTTTACCCATATGATATATAAGAAAAAAATCACTTTTCCTGGGCTGTTCTAGCACATCCGCTCGCACTGTTAATTGCAATTTGAAACTGCTGATACTCAGAATGGAAGACACCAAGTGATCATCAATTCTTTTCTCCTCATACTTCAAAAATGTGCTTAACCCTGTGCTACAGTGAGAATATAGAAAATATGACAGAAAGGCCTTGCCATTCATTTGGTCCATCCATCCAGGATGTGTATAAACTATCTTACACAATTTGTTAAACCCATCTATGTCTTCTGCTGAAGATACATGTGCTCTAATGGGTTGCGAGTCAGAAAAAGCTATGCTGTCTTACTGCATCAGCCATTTCCCTACGGATAAAGGAAGATACCTTGAGCCAAGATGGGCTTGAGACCCTGATGTACAACATGGGAAAATCCTGTCACCTTTTCTGTACCACATTCCAAAGAAATCCTCATCTCAAATGTGGAACAGCACTAATCCTTCTGCAGACTCCCAGTATACATGCCATCCATCCAAGCACAGAATATGAATAGAAGCAATACTACCAGTTAAAATTTCAGCTTACTCAGTCAGAGCTGGAGCTTGATTTAAATCTTACATGACTCTGAAGCAAAAAAAAAAATCATGTATCCTACAATAGCTCAAAGTAAAGACTGGTATCATTCAGGCATTGGACCTAGACACTCCTGGATCTTTCATTTGACAACTCGCAGGTAGGCAGCAAGAATTTAGGAGGACTGACTGCTTCTGGTGCTAAGGCAAACTCAGGCAAGGAAGACAGATCTGGGGTTTTGTAAAGATGAAGACATAACATTTCTAAACACAGCATCTGAGCGTGTACTCTCTTCATTCTTCCCCTGCTGCCAGTAGTGTGCTCAGAGCCTGCAGCGACAGATATGGCATTATCCTGCAGTGTCATCATTCAAACAGCAGCTATAGCTATTCTGTTGTGACCAAAAGGAACAAAGACACACTGAGCAGCCGTAACCCAGCTAGATTAGATACTGCTGGCAGAAAAGCCACCGACCAAATAGAGCTCAATCCTGAGAAGCCTCCGAGGTTGGTACATCACTCCCAAGTTTTGCTACTTGGGCTGAGCAGTAGCTACCCACCCAGCAGGTGTAAGACCAGGCAATTTAGAGGCAGCTGGACTGTATCAGTGCAAGCTTCCATGGCTGCACAGTAGACACACCATTCAGAGAGTGCTGTAGCAGGTGGCAATAAGATGCCTAACACAGGCTGAAGATGAGAATCTATTTCCAGTAAGCCAGAAATAGCAAACGGCTTCTGTCACAGCATACGTGACCTCTGGTCCCTTTCACTTAATGTGTGAGGGGCT